ATTTTAGTAGCCAAAAGTGAAGGTTTTTGGCAACTAAAAGAAATTAGTAGCCAAAGGTATAGGTTTTGGAGACTAAAAAATGGTTTGGTTGCTGATTGTAGGTGTTTTACAGACAAAAAAAAAATGTTGTAGGCAAAAGTAAAGGTTTTTGGTTACTAAAAAAAATTTAGTAGCTAAAAGTGGACAATTGGCGACTAAAATTGAGTTTAGTCGGCAAAGGTGGCGGTTTTGGCGACTAAAAATTAGTTTAGTCGCCGAAAGTGGTTATTTTTAGGCGGAAATTAATTTTTTTGTGACTAAATTATTGGGTAGTAGCCAAAACTAAGGTTTTTGGCGACTAAAAAAAAATTTAGTCGCCAAAAGTGGCTTCCTTTTTTTTTTAATAAATAATTTATTTTTTACATAAATTATGTTGAATAAAAAATAATTATGTTTATATATATAGTTTAATATTAATACGGGTCAATATAGTATATAAATAATATATTTTGCATACATATTCATGTGGTGTTATTGTGGCAAAGGGTTAGAAAGTGGAAGGTTGGTGATTCAAAACTTGGGAAGAGCAGAGGGTTAATTTTTTTTTTTGAAATAACCTATTGGCGACGAAAAAAATAGTCGGCAAATGTATAAATTAAAAAAAAATAATTCACTATTGGCGACTAAAAATTTAGTCGCCAAATGTATAATTTAAAAAATATAAATGAGCTTTGGCGACGAAAAATTTAGTCGCTACAGACTTGGTTTTTGGCGACTAAAAGTTTGTTAGTCGCCAATACCTTTCGCAACAATTTTCCAGCGACCAAGCCAGCGACTAAATTTTTTAGTCGGGAAAACTCAAAACCCGACTTTTGGCGACTAAAAATTTACTTTTGGCGACTAAAAATTTAGTCGCCAATTATATTTTTTTTTTTGTAGTGTGAGTATGTGATCAGATGAGTGTACGTACTGGAGCAACCCATCAACTGACTTCAATGAAATTGTTTGATCCAAAACTTTTAAAAGGGCCCATTAGTCATGCTGATGAACGTCCCGAGTTTTTGGGTTGCAAAACAAGAGCTAGATAAATTTTAATTTTAGCCTATTTAAATGGACTCCCCACAAATACGTGGGACTAAGCACAGAAAATTTTTGTAATGCCTAAAAATCTATTCTTAAAAACTTGTAGATCCAACTTCTAAACAAAGCACTTGTAAGAAGGGAGAGGGGCTACTTGATGATTTGAACTCATCATATTATATAATTCATGAAGAAAATTATTTTTGTAAAAAATCAGATTAATTGAACAATTATGAACATATCATTAAACTATAGGGTAAATTATGCAAATAGTTCCTGTAGTTTACACAATGTGTCAATTTGATCTTTGTAGTTTCAATTTGCTCGATTTTACCCTTTAATTTAATGGATTCTGCCATTTTAGTCCAATAAATAATGATTGTTAAGTTAATTTAATGAAAGATCAAATAATGTGTCAATTTGATCCCTGTACTTTACACGATGTATCAATTTGATCCATGTAATTTCAATTTTCTCAATTTTGACAAGAACTAAATTGACACATTGTGAAAAATACAGTGCCCAAATTGACACATTATTTAACTTTCCGTTAAATTAACTTAACAACCGCTATTTGTTGGACTAAAATGACATAATTCGTTAAATTAAGGGACAAAATCGAACAAATTGAAACTACACGAACCAAATTGACACATTGTGTAAATTATAAAGACTATTTACATAATTTTCGTAAATTATATTCATCTTTAAAATAATGAATAATTTGTTTTTAAAGATGTAATTGGCGTCCTCTTTTTCTTTTTTATATCAAATGTGATGTAATCATCTGATTATTATTGCCTAATCGATATGATAAATATTTGGAGAAATACTTTTATCAAATATAGTTTTTACATGTGATAAATACTTTTAGAAGTAACAATTCATGACCTCACTAATTTGACATAACAGGCCCAATGGCTTAAATCAAACATCTTCACCCAAACTTTCAAAATTTGTTGTTTTAATTTTTTTTTTGAATGTTTTTATGTCAAATCAACATATAAACTTTTTACCTAATATGTCAAATTTATTATTCTAATATATTTTAAAAATAAAATTATTTTATTAGGTAGACTCAACATTTGACATCAATGTGAAACATGTCAAGTTTGACATATTGAGTTTATACCAAATGTCAACTCAACATTTGACATATCGAATGGAGTTGATGTTTGATGCCTAAGTATGACTGTTACCACGTTATATTTGAAATATCGGATGGAGGTGCTCTAAGCCTTTTATTCTATATGGTTGTTATTTTCAATTAAAAAGTATAAATGGTTCATGAAGGTTAAAAAATACTGAACGCTTTCATAATTTGTATAATTTTTTTTTTACTTGTTGAAATTTCAGAAATTTCAAAAAAAAAAATGAAATTCCTAAAACAGTTTTCATGAAAACAAAAATTCATAAACACTCAAAAATTGTTTGCCATATAAGTTTTTCTTGTCAGATTTCATTTTTTCTATTTTTGAGAATAGGAAACAAAAAGGACACCAAACGTGCAGAAAAAAAAAAAAAAATTCAAAACCGTCAAGCATTTGTTTAAAATAGATAAAGTGGAGATGCTTGAATAAAGTGAATTAACATGGACCACTATATATATATACCATAGAAAAAGAATATTTCTAAGGGTAAATTATAAATACATTCCCTGAGATTTAATTAAAATACAAATTATCTTTGTAGTTTTGAAAATTACATTCCACCCCTTAAGGTTTTTAATTTCACAACACATAGCCTATTTTATTAATAAATTATGAAGTCAATCAACAGTTTTTAATGATATTAAAAATATATTTCAATTAATAATTTAGGTAATTTTATTATTATATAGGAAAGTAATTATGAATTTTATTTTTTAGTTAATTCTGTTAAATAAAAAATTCTAATAAAGGAGTATTTATAATTTTTTAAATCACAAAAAATAATCTATATTTTAAACAAATCTTAGATACTGTATTTATAATTTATCCTATTTTTAAAGTGCCAAGCATGCTAAAAATCATATAAAAATGTAACATGAAAGTCAAATAAATTGTATCCATTGCCTTATCCTTAAAGATCAATTTCTTTAGGAAGTGCATCCAAACAACTATAATTTAAAAGTAACTACCAGCTGGCACATACTAAATTTTTTTTAAAAAAAAGTTACTTGACAGAAGAAGTAATAAAGATTTCAGGACACTAATTTTAATTTGGATTTATATAATCATATAGATAATATATATAATAAATTAACAATTGTACATATTAAAAAATTAACTCAAAAAACAAAAATGAATGTGTGGTCGAGAATGTTGATTTGGACCACACATTAGGTTGTTTGGTGTAATTTATGGAATTATTTTTAATTTTTTTATTTGAAAAATATGTGTCAAAATATAACTTAAATAAGTAAATAAATAAAACTTATTATTAAAAAGCAGAAGAGAACTTTTTAATTTTCAATTTTAAAACCCCGTTAAAAGTTGAATTTCCTGTCGTGTTCTGTACAGAAGTCTAAACATAAATTTTGACAGTTAAATTTTCCATAAAACAATTGCCTCCAAAGCAAAAGTCATCGCCACGTAGAGAACATGAAACATGAATCATACAAAATTAGTTATTCTCTCTGTTTAATTAATACAATTTCACTTTATTTTAGTGGGTTGTTGGAAAGATTAACGTGAAACTATGAATTTAGTTAAACCTCCACTTTGACATTGCTTAATTAATTAAATTAAAACCCAAGTCTAGATTCAATGATGTTGTCCTCCACAGAACAGTTACATGATTGAGTGTTCCCTTTGACATATAAGGAGTCCAAGCATATATGACAACTTATATAGAGTGAGTTTTGACTATAGAAAAGGAGTTTGGTAAATTGAAATCTTTAAGGAACATTCAACAACATTGGGCCACATGAAGAAATAAAAGGGTCATCAAATCATCAGATTGTTATGGCTAAGGTCGGTGCCTCCTGCTAATGTCATGACTTTTACTCTCTCTCTATATCTATATATTCTAAAAATGTTAAAAACTACTTTTATGTTGTGTTTGGTTGGGGGATTTGAGAAGGGATTTGGAAAGAAAAATGAAAACGGTAAGTGAAATGAGAATAAAATAGAGTTATGCTAGGAACCCCAAACAAATTATCAAATTTTCTACCAAATCTCTCACATGGATGTGGAACCCACACACATTTGATTTGTGTGGATCCCACACCCATGTGAGAAATTTGGTAGAAAATTTGGTAATTTGTTTGGGGTCCATAGCATTTTCCAATAAAATATACTTAAATTTCACATAGTTTCACACACTTTTTTCCTTCCCCTTTCAAAATTTCTCTCACTGCTAGAAACTGACTTTTAGCGGCGTTTTAAAAACGCCGCTATAAATATAAAAAACGCCGCTAATTGTTTTTGTGGCGTTTAGTACCAAACGTCGAAGATGCGGCCGTCGCTATAGCTTTATGACGCTTTAAAAGCGTCGCTATATGTAGTATAGGCGGCGTTTTTAAAAACGCCGCCGAATGTCCTGTCCTAACGGTATGATGACGTCACTATGACATTTAGCGACGTTTTTAAACGCCGTTATAGACATTTATACATTTTTCAAATCTAGCCATTGGGTAGGGATATAGTGACGTTTAAAAAACGCCGCCATAGCCTTTTTCAACAGAGTACCCATCTAGCACAGTTCACCTTTCATTGACAAAAGGTTCTACCACACATCTCTCATAGAACATTAGAGAAAATTGGCTTCCTAGTTTCCAAACTGATTTTTCTGCATACACCACGCTAATATTTAACTAGCTTTAGAATTTCTATAAAGTGTCCTAACATGGACATGAAAGAGTTGAAATTTAGCAGGCATCCTCAAATCTTAATTGCTTTTCAATCAGCAAGAAATCACTCTAAAAGTAAAATGAGTTACAAAAGCGATTGTAAGTGAATCTATCCTTGCAGCATAGTTGATACAGTACTTTAATGAATGTAAAAATGACAATCATTTCAGATTCTTCTGAGACACATTATTAATATGAATAAGATGTGATACATGTACAATTACATAATATATCTAGACACAATATATTGGAAATCAATGAGGATTTATTTACAAAGTCAGCAGGCTTGAAAACTCATGCAGAAAGCAGAGAAGACATCCATATTCCTAATGACGCAATACCGATAGTAGCAAAAGCTTGGCCCAGTTTATAAACAAATTTTTTTTCTGACAAGGCAAACTTTGCCAATCTGTCCTGCAAAAAGTCACAGCCAGGACCAAATTAGAAAGGTTAATATCAATACAATAGATTAACACATTAGATTAGAATGGAAAACATTAGATTAAATTAACCTAATGCATACAAGTGCATTCCCCTAATCAGTAATGTCGATGTTGACATTATCTTGTGAACTTCAGTCCTGTAATATACACAAATCACAATTTAATTTTAAGTTACTAATTCTCCGTCCAGTTTAATTATTATTTCTACTATCAAACAAAGTTCTTATTTTGCTATTTTATAATTTAATATCATATAGAATTGACAGTTTTCCCACTTTTACATTAGGCCAAGGGTATTATATCCCATGATGATGAGTCTTTGATCTAATTTGGATTTTGATGAGTCTTCAATCAATCTTATCGGTCTGATTGGTCACTGCCCCCCTCAATGATGAATTTAAACATTAAATTCAATATACTTAAAGGTGATACCAAAAAGCTTCAATGTGCAAACAAAAGAAAACATAACGTCATAAAAAAAATTCCCTCCATAGAACCCAACTGAACTTTTTAAATAACAGAAAGCATACCAACTGATCCTCTTCCTGGAGTTCGGGCTGCTACATATGCAAAAGCTCACATCTAGAAACAAGCCAATACCATTTTCTGGCATAGCAAGCACAGACCTCTGAAAGAAACCCAAACAAGTAAAAATTAATAACTTAAATAGTGTTTTTTATCTAAATATATATATATATATATATATATGTGCTAGAAAAGGCAACCAGACCTCAGTGATAAGCTGGTAGCGACCACGACCAGATAGGCCAATTCCAAATCCCATTGTTATGCTGTCCATGAAGCTTATATATGGCTTTTGTACTCAGAAATTTTACATATTAAAGAATATTTTGCAGTAAATACGTGCAAAAGGTTGGCATGATAAGCACTTATAATTTTTTTTCTAATATAATAGACATATAAATCCACTAACTGAAGAAGCAATATTGCACAATATGTGATGCAAATGAAATCTAAGTTAAAATTGTTATTTGATCAATCCAATGAACAAGGATGTAACCTGTGCCTAAGAGAATTTCATATTCCTCTGAAGGTCAGCATAATCTCAATTATTTTTTAGCTGTTTTCGAAATTTATAAGTTGAAACACTACAAATCATAGACGAAAATAACTAACCAGTATCAACTAGAGAAATGCCTACCATCATTTGGAAGGCAACCATCACCTCATTTCCATCCTGAGAGCAAGGGTTTTATAGCAAGGCAATAGTGCTTGGATTAAAAATTACAACAACTTAAGTATGGTGCATTCACAGCATAAACACCCGATATTTAATGGTGCATTCACAGCTTAACTGGCACAAATTATGGTGCATAATATGATTACCCCCAGAAAATTTGATTACCCCCAGTATTTTGTCTCAAAAATGCATACCACCCCCCTCAACTTTAAAACACTACAACCCCCCTACTCTAGACTAAAGTGAATGTTAGTTTCTCTATCCAATTGCTGGAATTACTTTTATACCCTTAAAAGTGACTGAAATATATTTGATGGTGCTCTGCAAATTTGCAAGACTATTATTACTCTACCTAAATTCAATAAAAACCATGATTTGTTTGAGAAGGTAATGCTTGAACTCGCTCTTGACAAGGATAATCACAAGGGAAGGATGCCAACGCCACAGCCGAGTTCACTGTCTCAGGTTAACCCCTACCACACCTTACCGATCCCACTCCGCAGCCCCTCTGCTATCTGAAGAACACAGCTCTTGAGGATTTTGCACTTCAACATCAAAGTCATACCAGCATAATTGCTGAGTAAATATGTCCCTCTAAAATTCTTAATTTACCACAAAAATGAGCATGGGGAACTACTTATATAGACGTTATCCATGAACTACTCATCAGATTCAAGAGGCCTCATTGAATCAGGTGAAAGGCACACCACAAAATCCATAGTCCAGGTACAGCGAGGGAGAAAATGGAAGGGTGAGATAAAAGATAAGAACAAAGGCATTAAATTTGAGTGAGAATCATTTCTTGTTGAGGCCATCTGTGTATTCACTTTAAACAGGAGTAGAGGGGATTTAAGGGTAGGTTTTTAAAGTTGAGGGGGATCATATCTATATATACAAACCATTTTATACATGTTCGGATGTTGCTTCTAATGGATACCACAGCAAATAGAACAGCTCAACTAAATGACACAAAGCAAGCACGGGCAATAGAGCACCATCCTCCAAAATTGGTCAATTAGACATATGATGGGGAAGTCACTAACCTGATCATGAAATTTTCCGTCTTTGAAAACTTCAAAGATGATCAACTAGAGACAGTATCTTCCCCCACAAATGCCCGGTGATGCTGTATAGGCACAAGAAACAATTAAATATCTTAAAAGGACGATATTAAAACTGCATGTATATAACAATTAAACAAAACTGGATAACAAAATCAGCGATCCAGCAGCTCAACGATCCTCAATTTTGTTTCAAAGATAGTGCTCACCACTTCAGCTTCTAACACCAAAGAATTACTTTCTAGAAAATTTTCTAGGCTACCAAAGAAACTGGAAACGGAAACATAAAGATTACAGACAATAGCCTGAAATGTGGGGCTCAAAGCACTATCCAAAAAAAACAAGAAGGAAAAAAAAAATAGAAATGAAGTCCAATTCGCACAAAAAATGAGATACGGTTATGAATGAGAGTCGAAAAATGCACCATCTGGTGATACTACACAAAATCAACTAGGCTATACTGTAACTAGATAACAGATCAACCCTGACATGCAAACTAAGCTAAGAAATTTCTGTACGTATATTCTACACAATACACATGAGAGAGAGAGAGAGAGAGAGAGAGAGAGAGAGAGAGAGCGTGCTCCTAACAGAAAACTCAAAAAAATGGAGTGTGTCATGATGTTAAGAAGTTCCAGATTTCTTTCGTATTTTGACACTTCACCAGGATGCTCTGGTTTATTATCGTCGTTGTCATCAGTGTCGGCTCGATCAGTGTCATTGAAAGTCGTCCCATTCTCATCTTCACCTCCATATTCTGATGAACCATTTACCTCCTTACTCAACCCCATATTTTCAATCAACTTTGTTGCATCTGCATTGTCATTAACATCCCCACTGTCTTGCACTGCATTGTAAATGAATAAATAATGAGTCAGCTCAACTGCGGTGCTGTTTGGTGCAACTTATAATGCTGCTTATAACTTTTCTTATTTTGAGTCTCTGTGAAAGTGTTTGGTGTAGCTTTTACTTATAGCTTATGAGACAGAAATAGCTCAAATAAAGTTGAAAAAAGCTGGGGAAATCATTCTTTTAGCTTCTATTTATCATCAACTTACAGCTTTGGAAAAGCTGCACCAAACAGGCTCTAAGAATAATTACACAACTACTGCTAAAAACAGTGAGGAAAATATTCAAATCTTGCCATCAGATGAGAACTCCTGAACTTCAACGCTATTGTATGTTGTAACCTGGACCAATGGAGTTGAATTGTCATACTCACTAGCACCTCCCAATGATGATGCTGAAGCAACTTCAGGTTTGGTACTGCTTCAACTATATCACCACCACCATCATCAACATGTTTCTCTGTTTTCTTCTTTATATTAGCAGAAGAAGCTTGAGATGCCACGGCTATGCCTGCATTGAACCATGTTCAGATGAAAAATTTAGAACCATTACGGCTAGATCAAATCCCAATCAGGTGAAGTTAATGAAGATAATCCAACTTGATCACTTACATATGAAATCAAAAGATATTCGCTATCTCTCCTTTAATTGCATTAGAGTACTTCCATAACTTCCATTTTAATGCCTTTTTTCCCAAGTAGCTGGAAATTATGCTATGTGACCCCTCGGAAAACTGGTCCACCATGTATTCATTGACTCAGTTAACATTTAACAACAACAAAATCATATCCCAAGAAAAAGCAAGAAAAAAGGAAAATTTTTAAGGACCAAATTTTCTAGGGTCAAAAGGCTAAAAGATTAAGTGGCTCAAAGAAGGTGATATTAATTCCAAATTATTGACATGTAAAATTTGAAACCACATCACATGTAAAATTTGATTCATCTCCTATTTTCAAGCAAACTGGTTTTTACACTTCAATCATCAGTTCTATTGCATACGGATACATTACCAGTTTCTAAGTCTAAGAAGAGGGGTTATTATCCATTAAATTGACTCAAGTCTCCTTCCTATTAAACTCAATCTTCCTATGGTTTACCCTCCTATAAATTGGACATCAACGGTAGATAACCCTTCAACATTAGATGATATTTGAGGGGGTTATGTAAGTTCCCACTCGGGAGAAATCTATAATAGGTTTCGTCTATTAACTTCTCGTGACTTTAGTAATTTCTATATCCATGATGATTACCCACGTAAGAAACAGAATTTCTAATATCATCATCAAGATAATTTGCCAAGATAATTTCCATAAGCACATAGTACATTATTAGAGAAACAATTAACATTAACAATCTCAAATGCAACATTTAAATTGATCCTTAATAAATTATTAGGTACCAACAGTAGCACCATGAATATATCATTTATTGTAATACAACAATGCATATTTGGAAATTCTAAAGATTAAGGACAGCAACTTGAAATCATCAAAATATGAAATAGAGTAGATAATCTTCAATTCATACCTGGATCAAGAGGTGATAATTTTTTATTTTTTTTAAAGTTTCAAAAAATAATTTTTTAAATTCAAACTAAACAAAGCCTTTATCTTTCTAAAAACACTAACAAAGATTGACCTTTTTTGGCAATAAAAGACAAGGCTTTATAATACTAAAAGATTTTTGGGTGAATATAATACTAATAGATGATAAATAATAGGGAAAATTACATATACCCCCTTGAGCTTTAGCAAAATTACAGATACCCCCTTGAGGTTTGAGAAATTACAGATACCCCCTGAAGGTACTATTTGCATAACAAATTAGGGGGCAAATTGTTATGAAAATATAAACCTCAGGGGGTAATTTGTTATGAAAATATAAATCTCAGGGGGGTATCTGTAATTTTCGAAACCTCAGGGGGGTATCTGTAATTTAACTAAACCTCGAGGGAGGTATATGTAATTTGCCCTAAATAATAATATTGATTATTTTAATAAACTTCCTAAGTTAAGCATGCCATTTGCACTTAAATTTTTTAGTATTATTTGTGTTGAATATATATAATTAAACGTTAGCAACTAAAATGAATATATATATAAATAAATAAATAAATAAAAAATCAATACCAAAACGAAAAACGAAACAAAAAATTTAAAAACATCAAGGGGCATACCTGGTATTTATCTGCCAGATAGAGCTACAAGTGCTACATATATATTTTCAGGATCTTGAGGTTGAAAATAAAAAACAAAGGCCTAGAAAAGAAAGAAATGTGATGAGAAAATTATGTTAGAATAAATAAATGCGTGTTCAAATTGGCCTATTGGATAGTAAGACTCTGTTTGGATAGAGGGAAAGCAAAAGGGGAAGGAACTCAAATCCCAAAATCCAATAAAAATTATGAAATTCCCACGAGAATATGAATCAATCAAACCCTCCATCAGATGATTAGATGAGAAAACCTCAAAGCCCATTAATATATAGTTGTGAATATGTCTGCACTGTATATTGCATTGAAATCATAAAGAATAGAGAAGAGAATGAATCAGAGAGACTAGAAATCATCCAGCACATTCAATGTTTTCCACACAATGAATAAGGAAACAACTTGGAATTGCAACCCAAATAAGTACCTCATTACTAAAACCAGTTAAAGTACCACATCGATCTGCAAAAGAAGAAAGAAAAAAAAAACAGTTTACACTAATGAATATCCAAGAAGAAAAGAGAAAACCAGAGTGAGAGAAAAATAATAGCATAAAACAACTATCACAAAAATAATAATAATAAATGAATAAATAGTAGAAGAAGAAGAGGAAGTGGTGCTTGAGTGGATTTGACTCTTTTTGAAAGAACAGATCAGGTCTGGAGGGACCAATCTCATTGCAAATAAATAAAAAATAAAAATAAAAAAATCTGGAAAGTCCCTACTACAATAGCAAATCAAAAAAATATTGAGAAGCAATAATTCCAGCTAGAAGAAGAACTATCAGAAAAATTTGGTCGATTATATCAAATCAAATATGCAAACTATGAGAGAGTGAGAGAGAGAGAGAGACCTCTCATTCTCGAACCATCGGAACACAGGTTTCGAGATCAAACCTGTTAGTTCTAAGAGGCCTCTTCTTCTTGAACCATGGGAACACCGAGATCTATTCAACGCAAATAGAGCACGAAATACAAGTTTTGAGATCAGATCCCTGTATTTCTAAGAGAAATTAGCGAAAACCCTAACAAGCTTTGAGTTCTCGAGATCAGGTTTCTAATCATATAAACCCCAAGAAAGAACAAGAAATTGATACATACAGATTTTAATAGATTAGCATGACAGAAATCGATCAAGAAACACGACAAAGTGAGATCAAAACAAACTCAATTTAATACTTACGGTGAAGTGTAGAAATCGAACCAATAGTTTCGATTCGTCTATAACTCCTCGCTTTCAAAGGCAAATCGCAAATCAATTAGAGGGAAATTGGAGAACACATAGATCCAAAGCCTAAATAAAATGATTACTGAGAAATCGAAGAAAAATCAGCAGATCCAAACCCTAGACGCCATTCTTGCAAACATTCTCTCACTAAAAAGTAAAAACCCTCATCTCTCACTCACGCTTCTTTTTATGAGAGAGGGATTTTGTAAAATATTTTTTTTATCCGATATATAGAAAAACGCAACAGGCCTTCCTCTTCGTACGGAGTGAGGTGACGTTTTTTTTGAAAGAAGCACCACCTTTTCTGCAGCGTTTTTAAAAACGTTGTTATATAAGCGCCGGCATAACCAATATTTCTCGTAGTGATAAGAGATGATGGTGGTGGTGGTAGTGGCGGCGGTGGCGAAGGAGATTAGTGGTGAAGTTGTGGTAGTGGTAGAGTAGATGAAGTGGCAATGGTGAAAGAGAGGTAATGGCAGTAGTAGTGGTAGTAGTGGTAGTAGTGGTAGTGATGGCAATGGTAGTAGTAATGGTAGTCATAGAGGTGAAGTGGCGACAGTGGTAGTAATGGTGGTAGTGGAACAGCGTTTGCAGTAGTGGTGAATGTGGTAAAGGAGATGGATGGTGAGAAAGAGAGAGATGAGTGTGAGACAGATAGAGGATAGAGAGAGAGAGAGACAAAGAGAGAGACAGACAGAGACAGAGTGATGAGCGAGAGAGAGACAAAGTGGTCGCTAAAAGTGCATTTTCTTGTAGTGGATAGATAAATCGAGAGGGAGCTTAGTAAATAGAGAAGACGGAAGGGAGAGAGTGAGCAACACGAACACAGTAGGAGAGAGAGAGAGAGAGAGAGAGAAAAGAGAGGGGGGGACAAAAAGATAAAGAGATAGAGTGTGAGAGACAGAGAAAGAAGAGAGATGAACGAGAGAGACAGAGAGAGAGATAGAGAGCAGAGAGATGAGCAAGAGAGACATAGAGAGATGAACGAGAGAGACAGAGAGAGAGAGAGAGAAGAGAGTTGAGCGAGAGAGACAGAGAGAGATGAGAGATAGAGAGAAAAGAGATGAGCGAAAGAGACAGTGAGAGAAAAGAGATGAGAGAAGAGATAGATGAGTGAGAGACAGAGAGAGAGACAGATAAACAGAAAGAAAAGAGTGATGAGTAAGAGAGAGAAAGAGAAGAGAGAGAGGAAGATGAAAAAATGGGTGAAAAGATATAGACAAAGAGAGATAGAGAGAAAAAAAGAACGAAAAGAGATAAACGGGAGAGAGACAGGGAGAGATGAGTAAGAGAGATATAGAGAAGAGAGACAGAGAAAGAAGAGAGATGGGAGAGATAGACAGAAGAGAGATGAACGAGAGACACAGAGAGAAAGAGAGAGAGAGACAGATAGACAGACAGAGAAGAGTGATGAGTGAGAGAGAGAAAAATAAGAGAGACAGACACAGAGAGAAAGAGAGAGACAGATAGACAGAGAAAAGTGATGAGTGAGAGAGAGAAAAATAAGAGAGACAGAGACACAGAGAGAAAGAGAGAGACAGACAGACAAAGAAGAGTGATGAGTGAGAGAGAGAGAAGAGAGACGGAGACAGAGAAATAGGAAGATGAAAAAATGGGTGAAAAAGTTTCGTATCTAAAGCCTCATTTTCTAGTAGTGAGTCGTCTCTATCATTCACGGGTAGAATAGAGGCGTGGATTTGGGAATTGTATATTTTATATAAAAATCAAATTGAAATATTTTATACAATCACACCTATTTAGGGCTGGTGGGGTGGTGGTGGTGGGTGGCTGGTGGTAGATGGTGGTGGTAGATGGGTGCTGAGTGATGGTAGCGGGTAGGTGGCGGACAGTGGATGGTAGTGGCGGGTGGCGGGTAGATGGCAGGTGGGTGGTGGTGGCGAGTGGGTGGCAGGTGGGTGGTGGTGGCTGGAGACGATGGTGGAAAATGGTGGCGGGGGGTGGCTAGTGTTGGGTGATAAAAAAAAAAAAAATGAAAACACAAAATTAAAGGTATTAGAAAATCTGACATTTTATTTTTTTCTTTTTAGTTCCTCAGCACTATAGCTTTAGTTGGTTTAACTCATTTTTTATAAAATTGGAATTCTTATTCTTAGTAAATTTTTTAATATTTTGTGTAATTTTTTTTTATATATATACCTAATGTAGATATACTTAAAAAATATAATATTTGAGAATTTTTTTAAAATAATTGTCTAACCAAATAAATAAATAAAAATATAATAATTCAATACACTTTCGTATTTTTTTTACTATTTGCAATTTTTTTAGTACAATATTTTTTGAAATAATTTATTTTTAACATTCTATCTATTTATATTTTTTTTGAAAACATTTATAAAAAAAATGAACAATAAGAAATATATATATATATACACGTGTGTGTGTGTTTTTAGAAACATTGTTCGGACATTTTTTTTGTATGTCTTTATTTATAAATTAACTACATTGGTTATCATTTTTTTCCAAAATAAAAAGTTTAAATTCACAAAATATGTTTGAGACACCGATATAAGATAAAATATGAGCCTACATGCGTGAATTTCACATACGTATCGTATTTAGTGAATTTTTTCTGTATTCGTTTTTTTCAAAATTATGATGATAACATACAATGTACCAAAAATTGATACTAAAGGCTATTTTAATTTCTCTTCTGAACTTGAAATAGATGATCCCAAATCCAAAAGAAGGAAACACTTCACATGTTCCAAAAACATGATAAGTCAAAAATGTCTGCCCAAAATATAAATAAAAAAATTAAAAAAGGTGTTTGAAATCCAAATGTATGATCTGTATTTTTTGGGAGATGATGAGCAGAAACCGGTTCAATGAGAGAAGAATAGTTTTGGCCTCGGAGAGTTTTTTTTCTTTTTCCTTTTTTAAATGTTGTGACTGAGGTCGACTGAACACACACACAGTTAATGAAATGTTTGATTCTTTAATGAGAAATGGGTGTTAATTTTTTTTATTTATAAAATGCGTTTTTTTATATTATGAGTTTTTCTATTGTTTGCTAAATACTCATAAATATATACGGATCTATAAATACTTCTGAGTTTGCTAAATCTATATAATATAGGAGAAAGGTTTTTGAATATATCCAAAATGTATGAGAGATACATTTGATTTTAACGGTCCTAAGTCCATATACATTTAGATCAATGGTCTAGGTGCATTTAGTTCCCGCCCGTTTGAGCTCATCTCTCCCTCTCTCCCACGTCCCCAAACAACACGCCTCTGCAACTCCCTCTCTCCCACGTTCTCACTGCTGCTCATCACCACAGCCATTGAACAACCAAATCTGTTCATGGTTATTTTAGGGTTTTGTTTACGGGTTATATATATTTGTAATTTCTACCAAATCTGTTCATGTTGTGGTTATCTTCCTCATAGAATGCTCTATTCCAAGCATAAATCGGGGTCTCTTGCTCCACTGCAGCCAAGAATAAGAAATATATTTGATGTTTTTGATTTTGTTTTTGATAGATTGGGGTAAATAGTATAATGGTTTCTTAATGAGTGGGGGTGAGTTTGTGGTAGTGGTAGGCTGGTGGTGATGGCAGATGTGGGGGGGGAAGGTGATGGTTGTGATATGTGCGTTGGAAGTGGTGGTTGTGATGGTGGTCACCAAGTATTTGATAAAAGTCCTAGCCGGACAAAAAGTAGTTTGTGCGATGTCATGTGGTGTGGCTCCCAAGCTGCAACAGTAACTGTGGTCCATTGCATGTTAGTAACTGGGAATTCAATAGAAATTCAGGGTAATTATTTTACTTTTTTTTCTTCTCTCTTATTGATTTCTTTTTCTCATCTGCCTGATTCTTTTCCATGATAGATTGACCAAGTAGAAATCTAATTAGAAATGCAATAATAGGTTGCCAGCCACATCATTAATAAGGCTGGGCCTTCTATTTTTCTATCATCTCTTTTTTCTTTATTATTATTATTATTATTTTTCTCTTTGGGCTTTTAATAATTAGTTTTTTGTAATACGGGAGAAACGTTTTTGAAAATGTCCAAAATATCTATATAATAGATTGAGGTAAATAGTATAATGGTTTCTTAATGGTAATGTTTTTTTTTGTTTTTTTTTTTCCAGTTAAATTCTCAACCTTAGAACTTTGTTTATTTTTTTAATTATGTTGTATGTGTATTATTTATTTATTTATTTATTTATTTTTGTTCTAATTCTCAACCATAGAACTTTCTTTTGTTCTAATTTATTTATTTAATTCCGACTGTACGAACTTTACTCTCTTGAATTGGATGTACTTACATTTGTTATATATTATTGCTGCGTGGTTTACTTTATAGATTACCTACTGGATCTGTTTGAATGATTTTGATCGATTCTGGTGTTTAACTGACTATCTTTAATTGAGTCCTGTATGAATAGGATTGCTTTAACGGTGGTCTATGATAAAAAATTTAAAACAAATTTTTTTAATTTTTTTTTTTGATTGATTATTTTCCGTCTCTTGCAATTCGGGTTTGAACTATGTATAATATTTTGTTTTGCCTCTGATTTGGAGATATTATCTGCTTAATTTTATGGTTTCTTTGTGTATGTGGACTATGTATGTATGTATTTAGTTCATTTGTGAGGATGTGGGGGATTGCAAGGCAAAAACCTGGAGCTGGAGGATTTCCTGTTCCGGTAGGTCTTTCAATCGTATGTTTTGATTTTGAAAAAGGAAGATTTTTTTGCATCTAATAGATAGTATTTAATTTCAGATTTTAGAACATTCCTTGCAGAGGATACAGCAGCCTACAGTATCCGCGTTGAGATGTTATTCATCTACTACCAAAGAGGTAGTTGTGGATTATGTTCATTGTGTTGTTGTTCAATTTTTTCGTTTTTCTTTGATGCTTATTTGGTTGTTTAGATGTTAGAATTAATTTTATTTCATGAACTGATTTTTCCTATTTTGAAAATCATGAAAACATCAATTAGGTTATTGAAAACTTAGCTTCTCACTTTATTTTTTATTTTTAAAATTTATTTATTTATTTAGTTATTTATTTATTGTCAAATACCATGACCTGATTCTAACATATTCCTTTTTGGTAATGTTTATTGAGATGTTGGTAATGTTTTTTTTTCCCAGTTAAATTCTCGACCTTAGAACTTTCTTTGTTTTTTTAATTCTGTTGTATGTGTATTTTTTATTTTTATTTTTATTTATTTATTTATTTTTGTTCTAATTTTGTTTCCACATTATGTCATTTAGTTTTCACTACTCATGGATTGCAATGTGCGACATGGAAATTGCTCTCATTGTTGTTATTATTATTGTTTTATTTCATTTTAGGTGTCGTCTTTCAATTGCAATCTGAATTCTGCAAAGTTTCAATCAAGCATTTTTGGTACTGTTGTTCCTGGCAAGCCATCTTCCTTACAGTTGAGTAATCCATTGTTTTCTCTTTGTGCAGTTGAGTAGTGTTTGCTTATATTGTGATGAACACAGAATGATTTGGTCCAAACCATATAGAAAATGTATTGCTAGGAGTATGCAACCTATCAAAGCAACTGCAATGCCTTCTACAGTTCTTCTTCAACCAACATCCCGTACTATTCTTTGTTTTAGTTTTTTATTGACTATGTATGTAATTTATTTTCCTTCGATAAAAATTTGACATCATCTTTGGGATTCTTTGTGCTATATAATAGAAATCTACTGATCAACATTTGGTAAATAAATATTATATACCCCTGCTTTTGTTTAGGGTATGTCCAGTGAAAGTTACCTGTTAACTTTTGTTTCATCTTTAGATTTTTTTTGGTAAGTATTTCATCTTTAGATTGGATGTTCCTTATGTTTTTTCGCTCTTTTTGTTCAATTCCCCCACTGGTATTTGCCAGATGAAGAAGATCACTGTGCTGAGGTCCACAATAACCAATCTTCAGCCTAAGGTAGGGTCTATACTTCTTTCTAACTCTTTTAGTGTTGAATTTGTTTTGTGGTGTGTAGTGTGGCTATGTAATGATTAGCTGTTGCAACTGCTGCTTTTGATAGATTGAATTAACACTTGAAAATTTCTTTGTAACCATATATATTCTATATCAGGGATTCAAATGTGGGTCTGACAAACGTAACCCATTGCCCCTGTGATTGATTTGAATAGAAGTAGCTAAATCAGTTGCACAATATTATCTTCAACAGTATGATTACCCAATTCTAAAAACAGTTCTATATTTAGGATATTTTTGATCACTCATTAATCTCAGTTGTTTTTGGGGTGGTCCATTTACCATATTTATTGTGCCTTATATTTTCTATAGGCAATCATTTTTGTTTTATTTGTATTTCTTTTAAATAATGTATTGTTAATGTTAGACAAAAGAAAACACCTAAACTGATATGGAATATGATAGTGAAAAAAATGTCAATTTTTCTCTATACTATACAGTTAAATAATGTATTGTGCCTCTTGCTATTAGGCTCCATTTTCAAGTTATCCCTATACAGTTAGGTTCCATCATCTGAGGAGGCATGAAAGGTGTCTACTCATGCACTAATTCTGTGATTACATGTCAAAATGATATATAAATTTGGTGTAAAAATTGGTAATCATGGAAAAGAATACTCTACAAAAAGTAGGCATCTTGCATTTGGAGATGAAAACAATTTTGTTCAATGATAGAATAGATGTGTGTGCGTTATATTTTCTAAATTTTGTGGTTACCAGATGTCATAGGATGAATTTTGTTGTGAAGCTACATGCCATCTATAGATTTGATTCACCGGTTCTAATTTCTCTTAGAGATTTGATTGGCAGCAGTAGCACTAACTGGTTTGCATTTTAATTTTAATTTCTTTTAAATTGTAGAGCACTGGCTGATGTGCATTATTTGATATTTAATTTTATTTTTATATTTGATTTGTTTGAAATTATAGAGTGCAGTAACTGGTGTGTATTTTAATTTTAATTTCTTTTAAATTGCAGAGCACTAGCCGGTGTGCATTATTTGATACTTAATTTTTTTTATATTTGATTTGTTTGGAATTATAAAGTATAGTTTGTTAAATATATTTTTATAACTGCATTTTAATCTTAATATTATTTACACCGTGCCTTTAGGCACGGGCATACGCTAGTATTAGATGTCTTTTATGCTATAAAATCTTAATATCAGGGACCTTAAAAAAAAAATCCCTTTGAATCTGTTATTCATTAAATATGTATATCTTAATTCAAATTAAATATTTTGAATCCGTTTTTATTCGCAAGGAGCTGGATGAGAAGAAACTCTCACATCCGGTTCTATAGAAGAGACGGAATTTAGAAAAAAAACCATCAACTATAACCCCAAAAAAACTAGATTCCGTAAACAACATAGAGGAAGAATGAAGGATATCTTATCGTGGTAATCATATTTGTTTCAGAAAATATGCTCCTCAAGCACTTGAACCCGCTTGGATTACATCTAGACAAATTGAAGAAGGGCGTCGAACAATGACACGAAATGCAGATAAATTAAGGGGTAAAATTGAAAACATAATATCCTTCAAAACAAATTAAAGGACTTCTCACCAAACTATTTCACAAAGGGTGAATCTCTTACCAATAAAAAATATACACTGAACCTAATGTCTTATACCATCCTTAGATTAGATTTATCACCAAATTACTAGTTTATTTATTTATTATTATTCATTTAGAATAGTCTTCAATAAAAAATAATTTCCTAGAGTTCACTAGGGAAAAATATGCACCATGTAATTATCTACACGGTAATTAAACTTCAGGAAAAATGTAACCACACCACCGAACCCAATTATAGTTTCCCTCCAATGAATATCACCCTTTGGGAATCTCCATAATGCATTTTATTTGAAAGGCCCAATTTTATTTTGATCCATATGCAGATTATACTCCTCTTATTTGAAAATAATCATATAATCCTTTTATAATTTGTAAACTGAAATATACTAGGTCAATTAAAAATTTTATAAAAAAAAAAAACTAAAATATTCTTATATATAAGAAATCTAAGAATCTGAACTATGAATATTTTTGTTATTTTCTTCGGAAGCAAAATACACTTTAACCACTTGTCCTTTATTCCATATGCTCCTTAAATTTTGAAAATCAATATATAATCTCTTTATATTTGACATATGTTTCACATTTACTGTTAAGTATATTTAACGGTTTATTTTAGTTCACAAATCATAAAGGATTATGTGGTTATTTTCAAATGAGATGAGTAATTTGTACATAGACAAAGATAAGAGAATAAAGTGAAATTTATCATATTTAAAAATAGTTATAGTTGTACATTATTCTATAATTTCTACAGTTTAATTATGTACAAGGTAGTTAATTTTTTTTTTCCCCTCATGTATTTTTTTTTCTTTTTCTCAATTAAATTTAGATACAACAAAGTAGAAAACTGAACCTCACCCCCCATCCGTAATAGAAAGCTTGGAATAGAAAGCCAAGGAGAACAATCGCTTAAACTCCATGAAAAACAAGAGTTGAGAAGCTTCCATGCTTGACCTTGGATTGATCTATCAGTGAAATGCAAGATAAAATCAAGCACAAATGAAAAATCCAAAAATGAAGATTTAAAACTTAATAGCCGGTACATCCCTTCTCCAGTCTCTCTCCTCCTAAATCACTCCGATTGCCGCCTTCTCTCCCCTTAACCAACCCCTGTAACGCCCTCAAAATAGTACCTATCAACCAATCATTGATGGCACCCATAGACATAAAAGAATAAAATATGTTTCCATTTATCAGAGTATTCATTATAAAAGTATTACATGTTGACAACAAAAGTAAATGCGCTACGGGCTTACAACTTTCCAAGCCAACACTAGGTTGCAAAAAGAGAGTACTAACTGAAAACACATTAAGCCCTTGGCCTGAATTTACATGTAATACCAAAAAGATAACAACAAAAAGATCTTTTAGCCTCTAAGCCTCCTAAGCTACGTCCTTGGAGGTGGCATATCACCTGAACCTAAAAATGATGTCCTATATAGGGTGAGCCAAAGCCCAGTAGAGATATACTTGTTAGGGTATATCTCCTTATTGGAGTTTGAGACCTAATTGGCTTGTTAAAGAATTTTAATTTAGCTTGGTTTAGGTATAATATATTTTAATATATTATATCTAATTTGTGGAAACCCAATTTAATTTGGATACAACTAGGGTTTTGACAAATAAGTCCAAGATTCAACTATATATATATATTGTTGTTTTGTTCCTTGGAAGAGGTGAAGAAAAAGTTCTGCGGCTGTTAGGCTTATTAGATTTGATTAAGTATTTTTTCCAAAGAAAATAGCAGTGGCTTAATTCAATTGATGAACAATTCGGTGAGTTTGCCTTGTGTGGAGGAGCAGTAGGTTTGATCAAATTGAGTGGGTCTCCTTGTGCGTGATTTGATGTTGCGACAGTCTTTGATTCAAAGCTGATTTGGGTTATTATTTTGGGTCTTCTTCAACTCTAGTTCTGAAGATTTTGATTCATCTATTTGGTGAGGTCTTTCCTCTTATTTATTTGTGATTATTTGGAATTCACCTAAGGGTGGTTTGTGAGACCATTCGTGTCTCGTTTGTAATCATTTGGAAACTTATTTGGTTGATAGTGGAATCGGATTTCGATCCTGTGGGCGTACCTTACATTGAGGGAACCACATACAAATTCTTGTGTTGCTTTTGATTTAATTTTTCTCCATTAGTTTTTTGATTTACTTGTGGAAAATCATGTATTTTCCCTAACAACTAGTATTAGAGCTTACGGTTTATTAGGGTTTATTTATTTGTGTAAATCAATGGAGGGGAATATGGGTCATATGTCTAGCTTCAATGGAAGTAATTGGGTAACTCGGAAAAGTAAAATGGAGGACCTATTATTTTGTAAAGATTTGTATGGGCCAATTGAGGATGATAGTGGTAAACCTGATGATATGAGAGACAATGAGTGGAAGAGGCTTAATCGAAAAGACGTCGGTGTTATCCGTCAATGGATCGATGACAGTGTATTTCATCATGTTGCTACTGAAACTTCGGCACATGATTTATGGAAAAAATTAGAGAGTCTTTATGATAGAAAATTAGCCACAAATAAAGCCTTTTTGTTTCGTAAGTTGGTTAATTTAAAATATAAAGATGGCAGCCCCATTCCAGAACATTTGAATGAAATAAAAAGTATTGTTAACCAACTTGCTTCTATGAAAATTGTTTTTGATGATGAGTTACAGGCTTTGATGCTACTTAGTTCTTTGCCCAAAAGTTTGGAGACTTTGGTTGTGACCGTTAGTAATTCGGCACCCGATGGAGTTGTCACAATGGGCCAAGTCACTAGTAGTCTGTTGAATAAAGAAACTAGAAGAAAATCAGCGGGTTCCACTCATTTGGAAGGATTCGTTGTGAGAGGCCGAAGCAAAACAAGGGGGAGGAGTAAGACTCCTCATGGTCGTGATCAAAGCCGTGACAAATCAAAAGATGGTTATTTTTCAAACAAAGACATTGAGTGCTATTATTGACATGAGAAAGGGCACATGAAGCGAGAATGCCGAAAGCTCAAGAACAAGGAGAAAAGGTGTGACAAAAGTGTGGATAAGAAGCAAGAAGACACAATGGCAGTTACTACCGATGATCTCATGGTTGTTTGTGAAAATGATTGTATCAATTTTGTAGGCCAAGAGAGCAATTGGGTGATTGATTCCAGTGCTTCTTTTCATGTGGCTTCTCGACTTGATTTCTTCACTACCTACACCAAAGGAGATTATGGTTCTGTTCGAATGGGTAATGAAGGTTTGTCCAAGATTATTGGCATGGGTGATATTTGCTTGGAAACAAATTTGGGTTGCAAGTTGTTGCTTAAAGATGTAAGGCATGTTCCTGACATTCGTCTCAATTTGATCTCTACTGGGAAGTTAGATGATGAAAGCTTCAACCACAAATT